GAGGAAAGTCGTCCTTCAGACTAGCTTTGTTCAGATCTCTGAAATCCACACACACCCGAATTCTGCCATCTTTCTTCGGCACCAGAACAATGTTGGCCAACCAAGTAGGATACTCAGATACTAGCAAGAACCCTGCATCTATCTGCTTGGTGACCTCTTCCTTAATTTTCAAAGCCCAATCCGGGCGTATTCTCCGAAGCTTCTGCTTGTCGGGTTGGGCCTCAGGGTCAAGAGGGATCCGGTGCTGTACAATCTCAGGATCGATTCCAGGCATGTCTTCGTAGGACCACGCGAAAACATCTTTGAAATCTTTTAATAAAGCGACTAAGAGCTCGAGCTCCTCAAAAGGCAACGTGGACCCGATCTGGACCAGATGTGGATCCTTCTCAGTACCCACATTGATTGTAACGATTTCATCAACTAGGGATTTTACAAACCTCTCGCCTTCTCGATCAATCAAATGTTTTAAAACCGGAGGAATTCCTTCCTCGTTGTTTTCATTAAAATTTTGAAAGTCATGATCAATGCAATACACAAGTGGCACAGAAAAGTACTCAGAAATAGCAGTGGTACCATTCTCATTCACAACTTCTAGCTCATCCAAGTCCTCGGTTACAACTGACTCAAAAGAAAAGGAAAAAGACGACCTAGACAAAATAACGACATTCGGGTTATCAACCCTAGGAATACCAGACTGTGACTCAGAAGAACTGGAATCTGATTCCAACTCCACAGACTCTGTGGAATCAGATTTCTGTTCACTACTTGATTCAGAACTGCTGGACAAAAAGCCCTCCTCGAACTGCCAAACGAGGGAGGGTGCAATAGATGCATCCAAAATGTTGAAAGAAGGGTCCACAGCCGATTGGTCTCCAATCATGGAAACGATGAAGTTATCCCCCAAGCCTTGCTGTTCGATCTGAGGATTCGAAATGAGACATGTCAGTGCTGCCCCCTCTTCAAGTTCTATGCCATCGGACTCATCCTCTATACATTGTTCAGCCTCAGTTGGTAGGCTAGTTTGCTCTTCTATAACTTTATCCCCTTACAACGGTAGATCAAAAAAGATCTCAAAGTCGGGCAAGCGCCGCTTCTCAGAATTCAGCCATGGCTCCGGAAAGCCGCAAAATGGGAAATCTTCCCCCTCCCGGACAAAGCGGCCATTCAGGGTTCCTTGAATAGGTCTATGCACCAACTCATAGTGCTTCCCGCTTTGCTTAGCCTTGGCTCTTCTTGCCATTTCCTTTCCCTTTCTTATCCAGTCCTCTTTGGTAGGTGTATAACCTAAACCAAAGGTATGAGGGTTATGTGGTACGCCCTTCTGGCCAGTCCTTCCCAATCCCATTCCGGGTACATGTTGCAGCTTATTCATGAGATAGACAGATTGAGCACTGACATATAGCCCCTCATCAATAGCCAAAATATCTTGCACTACCTAGGCCTCAGCTAAGGTAAACCCAGACAATAAAACATCCTCATCACCATGTACAATTTCCAATATCGGTGTAGTGACTTCCTGTGGAGGATGTATGGAAAAATTTCCAAAAACAATAGCTACCGCTTTTCCATGGGGGTACTTCAACATCTGATGTAGAGTGGAAGAGACAGCTTTCACTTGGTGCAGCCACGGCCGTCCAAAGAGTAAATTAAAAGTGGACGGAACATCCAAGACATGGAACTCAATGTCTTGTTGTGCCGGGCCAACTTGCATTTTGATCTGAACTATCCCCATTACTTCCTGGCTCGTATTGTCATAAGCTCGAGTCACCTGGGCCGTTGGTACAAAGTCTGCTGGCTTCAAGCCAATAGCATAGGTCGTGCGAGACGGACACACATTAATTGCAGACCCAGTATCAACCAAAACAACCGGTATCCACTTTTCTTTGCATTGAACAGAGATATACAGTGGTTTGTTATGCTCGGAGCCCTTAGGCGGCAATTCTTTGTCTGTGAAGGTCAAAGTCGACGAAGCGCCTCCTGGGAAAACCAAACCCACTAACTGCTCGAGATTTGTCTCGATAGAGAGATTGGCCTTATCCATTGCTGATAGGACAGCTTATCTATGCACCATGAAGCAATGAGCAATCCCCAAATGGAGATGTCTACTTGAATCTTCTTCAGCTGCTTCAGTACAACTTCTTCTTTTAGGAGTTTATCTTTTTGTTTCTCTGTTTCCTTGTCCTTCCCTGGTGCTTCTGGTTGGTCCAAGTGTGGGGGCTTGAAGTACCGCCCGCTCCGAGTCATGTGATCAACATCCTCGACATACCATGTATCGTCTGGCAAATCTTGTCCCCAATCTTCATCCGTATGGGTAAGATGCAAATCCTCATCTTCCCACCACATTCCTCCGGCAACTGACAAGCAACTGTCTGGTTTCGTTGTAAGCACTCCTGTATCCGCAACACAGTTAGTCCCTGCGAGGCCTTTGGCTTTTCTAGCCTTCTGATTGTTCTCAGTTCTTTCATGCTTGAACTGCTTCAGCGCGGCCTCCTGTTTTGTAATGGCTGTACAAATACTACCCAATTCTTGAGCAAAATTCTTAGTACCGGTGCTCTCCGGCAACTCTTTCTTGTCGTCGACTGTTCCGGCCATTGCAGAAGTTCTCGTTTCCAACTGTCCCTACTTTGGTTGAGACCCCTCATCAACATCTGGCTCATCACTGAGCCACCTCGTATTATCCGTTGATTCGTTCATATCAAACCAGCCAATCTGTACACTCCCCAGATCTTGTTCATCAAAGAACTGCAGGTTACCGATGTCTTCCTCAAGGTTAGCTAAGTCATCTAGCCCTTGACTTGGTCCGTCCTCCCGGACTACATTAACTGCAATTCCCGTCGACAATTCCACCCCTAGTCTAGCTTGACTGGTTGGCACATTGTAGCGACATGGGTTATATTCCTCTTCAGTTAAGCTCATGGAGACCTCAAGCATGCCTTCTTCTACCACAGTCACCACCACAAGTTCAGGTTAGGATATGGACGCGCTCATCATGCACAGGTCTATGCTTTCTGGGATGAACCACGCCGGCTTAGGCAGGTGGGAGAGGGCCAAGGCCTCCATGATGATCACTCGGCCAACTGAAAAGGACTAGATAAGAATGGTCATTCGTAATCTGCAACCGAGGCTGCTACAAAAGATGATAATCCTACATCTACCTACATTTGCTGACCTTCATGAGATAGGGGTGCAGATAGAGGGTGCGATGAAATAGGGTCTGATAGACCATGAAAAAAAGCAGCCCAAGAGGGCATTTACACACAGTTCAAATGCGGCTACAAATAGTAACGCAGCTGCAAGGACTTTTAATGTTGGTATGGTTACACCACCACACTGAAAACAACCACCCACTTTACCGGTACATCCGGAACCACCTCACAACCCATAAAGTACCAACCCTAAGGCCAGAGGACTTTCACCACACTCTACATGTCTCTATCTGCGGCCTTGATGGTCTTGATTAGAAAAGGGCATTTGAAGCCCCTAGAGCCGCGCCCATTGCCTAATCCCCTCCCTCCTACACACAACCCAACCAAGTACTAAGCCTTCCACCAACAACATGGTCATGATACCGACCTATGCTTTAGACTCCGTCATGAGTTTCAGGATCTTATTGACAACATAGTGATAGTGCCTCCTGAAAAGCCTAATGTCACTACAAATCCTCTCCCACCACATAACCAATCCCCTCCTCCACCCAGGCAAGTCAACTTCAAATGCCCTTTTCTAATCAAGACCATCAAGGCCGCAGACAGAGACATGTAGAGTGTGGTGAAAGTCCTCTGGCCTCGGGGTTGGTACTTTACAGGTTGTGAGGTGGTTCCGGATGTACCGGTAAAGGGGGTGGCTGTTTTCGGTGTGGTGGTGTAACCATACCAACATCAAAAGTCCTTGTAGCTGCATTTGAACTGTGCGTAACTCTTTTTCATGGTCTATCAGACCCTATTTCATCGCCTCCTCTATCCACACCCCTATCTCATGAAGGTCAGCAAATGTAGGTAGATATAGGACTATCATCTTTTGTAGCAGCCTCGGTTGTAGATTACGAATGACCATTCTTATCTAGTCCTTTTCAACTGGCTAAGTGGTCATCATGGAGGCCTTGGCCCTCCACCGAGTGACGAAATCGGAGAAGCCCTCCTTCGGCTCTTGACGAGTTGCCTCCAGATCACAAGTTGCGACCTTAATTTGAGTGTTAAAGGAATATTGGGCTATAAAAGCCTCAGCCATCTCTTCCCAACTCCTCTTTACAGAATCCTCCAGTTTAGCATACCAAATGGCCGCAATACCCGACAGGGTCCGGCCAAACAGGGATAACTTCTGCAGTCTAGTTAGGCCCATCGGCCACAAAATGTCTGAGAATAGCAGCAAGTGGACCATGGGATCACCGGAGCCATCGAAGCGGTCTATGTGTGGCATATTAAACCTATTCAGCGATGTCACTGCCGAATCTATATAGTCGTCCTCTATATCTGGGATCGAATTAACACCCTGAGCTTGTTTGAAAAGCTTCTCAAGCTTGCTCACTTTCAGAGCCGTAGGGTCGACCTCAAACTTAAAGCACTACAACAAAAATAGTCTTTAGAGACGAAAACTAATGACGAAATATTTTTTTGTCACAAAATATGTATCTTTTAATGATGAAAATCATATTTCGTCTCCAAATGTATCATTTTTAGAGACAAAAATAAAATTTCGTCACAAATCTAAATCATAATAAAAAAATAGGTGAAAAAATTATATTTTGTCATTATTTATATTTTTTTTGTCACCAAATATTTTCCCGCTAATATTTTCGGAGGGCGCCAAAATTAATAGACTTTTGGTGACGAAAAAATTTGTCACAACTTATAAAATTATTAATGACAAATATATTTTTGTCACCAATAATTTGGTGATATTTTAATATCATTTAGTGACAAAACTATTTTTGTGGCCAATATTTTTATTTTTGGTGAAGAAATAATTTTGTCACCAAAATATAATTTGGTCACTAAATATTTTAGGGGGAAACAAAAATGTTTTCTTACAATCGGTTCCTCTTCTCAATCACACACAATCATTTCTCGGTTCAAACCTATTTCTCTCTCTCTCTCACACACACACACACACAGACGTTATACTACACAGGGCCCTCACAGCCGCTGCTCACATTGGATCAACCCACCGCCGCTCTACCATTTCCGATAGCCCTCACCGCCGACAGCCCTCACCACGCCGCCGTTAACCCCTCCTTTCCTCACCGCCGCTGCTGTGCAGATCGAAGAACACCGTTGTTAGTCTCTCTCTCTCTCTCTCTTTCTCTCTCTCTCTCTCTCAACGCTTAAAGGCTGTGGGTGATTTTGCTTGTTGATTACTTTTTAATTTACTCAAAATGGAAATTTTATGAGTGTTTTGATCAATTCGATGTAAAAAGAAAATGAAATTTTGCTTTATTTTTTGTGTTAGTTTTGATTTGATCCCTTCTGGCATTAGGGTTTAGTTGGAATGTCATAAATTTTTTTGCAAATTTATTTACTTTAGAGGTTATCTCTACTGATATCTGAGGCTGTGGGTGATTTTGGTTGTTAATTACAATTTAATTTACAGGAAATTGGGGTTATGATTATGGGTGCTTCAATGGATTTGACGGAAAGACTTGTGTTTCAAGCCTCAAACGGTTAGTTAATCACTTGTGTTTCCCTTTTGTTTGATATATGGTCATTGAAAATTAAAGACTCTCTTGCTCTAGTACACAAACAGTTTGAGGCCGTCATGCTTGGATACAACTGCCATATGCACCCGTGAACCCACATCCTAATTCCTCATTTTTGCTTGGCAGGTGTCTTAATGATAATCAGTTAACTGGGAAAATCCCAAGGGAGCTCACTGGTATTTCCAGCTTGAAAGTTGTGTAAGTGAAAAACCTTAGTGTTTGAATTATTAGTACTAGATTCATTGTGACTTAGTGTCAAGACATCTGAATGATTTTGCAGAGATGTCTCAAACAACTTGTGTGGAACAATTCCTACTACAGGTCCATTTGAGCACATCCCATTAAACAAGTAAGGTTTCCTTGATTCATATAGTTCTGCAATTTATTTTTTCTTGAAGTTCGTTGAACTCTCTCCAACAGGGAGGGAAAGAAAGAAGGAAGAACTTTAACTCATACTCAAACAAAAATAGGTGATTGCAATGTTTACCATATAAGTCTACTATATTGGCTCTTTCCAGAGAATCTAGGAGATAAACCTCATGGGAACATTTTCTATGTTATTCAAGCCTCATTACCTATCCAAAAAAACAAAGGAAGAAGAAAGCTTTTCTAGATGAAAATGAATTGTTAAGTTATATAGTGTGCCTTGTAGTGATAGAAAGTGTCATCTATGGCACATAGCTTCCTTGTTTTGCTGCCAAGTGAGCATAATACATATGCAGATATTGAAGCTGTGTATAAGTGTCATGTATCCTGTGAAGCGTAGATCATCTGTTTATCTATACTATTATTTTGATTGAAAGATTATGTATTTTTTTTTTTGGGTCTAATTAAATGGTGTTTGTGTTGACTGTGTGCAGAACATTGACAAAATCCCATATGTTAATTGTCCTGTGCTGATTATTCAAGTAAGTATGTAATTTTCAACATTTTACCTTTTAGAATTACTTATGGTAATTGAAGAACCATTCTAATACAGTTTTTAGACAATTAAGCCATTGTATAAGCTAGCATGAAACTCTTACCTTCTTTATCTGCCTTGCTTCTTTGTTTCTATGTTTTTGTGGGTACATGTATATGATCATAACCACGGACTTGGATGACTAAGATCTTATGACTTGATGGCTATAGTTGAGAGTTTTCCATGGTATTTGTCACATCCTCTCTAAGATACTTAACTGGTTTTAGAGAGAGATCCTCAGAAGAAGACAAATCCAAACTATAACCAAGACACATGATGTCCAAATTAGTTCTTAGTATTGTGACTCTTATTTAATTGCTGGTTTCTGAACTTCGGCTTAGGTTAGGACACTTTTAAACTTCACTATTTCATCATAAAATGTTGGCACATTATAAATAGAACCTTGATTGTACTGTTATCTATTATCAGTTTCCATACTTGCTTTCACACTAGTAAATATTTTCTAGTTGTACTGGATGTGGCATTGATAGTAAATATTAGTGATTTAATCTTAACCAACTTTTTGATTATTTTTCATCAAAAATTCTTACCAGCGTTATCAATTGGACTAAAATTGACACAAAATTAAAAAAAAAATTAAGAATCAAAATTGAGCTAATTAAAAATTTAAGGACCAAAATGACACAAGAAAAAAATGCAGGAACTACCAATATAATTTGTCCTTTGGTAAACTATAAGAAATGTGATAAATGCATTTTTGTTTCATCCCAATCGTGCTTAACGCTTCACCCCGACTAATCTTCGGATATATGTAATTTCCCATTTCACATATACCAAGTAATTATCGAGCCAAAACTCTGAAAGTAACTTCAAAGGTGGAGTGAGGAATGAAATTTTAAACTATTGGTCTACCCTAAATGTTGGAATACACGACATCTCTCATAAGAGTTAGAAAGTCTATGAGAACTAGTAAATTAGTTTATAATCAGTGAACTGAACGTAATCAACTTATAATCTTCTTCTAGTGCATGAGCATGACACTAATTAAAGAACTTTTGGGAAACTATAATAAAGAGTGTAATACATCATTCACATTTTGTCCTTTAATGAGGTGGAAGATAGAGAGAATAGAGAGAGGAGTGTATTCCCCCTTCACATGGTCCATTCCATATCATTAGAAATGGATTGGAGGTACTCAATTAGAACTGCCAAATATGTTTCATCAAATATATAATAATCAAACTTATAAAATCTTGTGCACTAATGCATGCATGCATGGGTATGGCACTAATTAAAGTGAACTTTTGGGAAAACTACAAAGAGATAATAATATAATATAATGGCAATAGTTTTGAAGGTGATTGAAGCATGTATAATAAAACAAAACTTAAATGCTTAGAACCAAACAGGTTTGTAGTGTTGGAGATATTAGTAATACTCACTAATGGTTTAAATGCTTAGATTTGTTGTTAATATGATATGTGAGCAGGTAATAGATTTTACATGTAAATTTCGCTATCTACTCAATAATAATATCTTCTTTATGAAACGTGTTGAGCATATAAATAATAAAATTGCCGTTCAAACTTTAGACGAATTAGTCATTAATTGATATAACCCAAAAGTTTATCTGTCAATTTCTAATTGGTTTTGCGTCTATGGTATGTTGTCTACAAAACTCTAAACTCTAAACTCTCTTTTCACATAAAAACAACTACTTTTGCTTTTAAAAAACAAGAATCTGGGGTTGGTCGGTCAGGCCGGAGTTCCATTCTATTGTGTTTTCTTGTATGTATTTGAGGGACTAGACCATATGTTATTTGGACTTGTGTGATTCTTATTGTAGACTTTTTTTTTATATTTAGTTAAAGTTATTTGCTATTTTTTTTTGGTATGATGCTTCAGGTTGAATCCTCCAAATATTATTACAATAAGTAGGTTTACAATTCATTGATTTAAAAGTTCATATATAAGGTATATATGTTGAATTTACCCTCCTCTATTTTTATATTGTGTTTTCAAGTTTCAGTATAATTTGAAAATCAAACCAAACATGAAATTTGAAAATCAAATTTGAACACCAGAGGTAAGTAGTGTTTTGTTCTTTCTAACACTTAAACTTGAAAATATGCCATCGGGCTCTAAAATCATGAAACAGCTATGAGAAGGCCCGGGAACACCTTGGGAGGGACCGATGTGAGTTGTGTAAACTTACGGAACTAGCATGGGACTTTTTGTTTGAAAACTATTTAGAAAAATGTACTTTTCCAACACTTAGGCTTGAAAATAGGCCATCGGGAGCCAAAATCATGTAACAACCACGAGCTGGCCCGGGAAACACCTCAAACACCTTGGGAGAGACTAAAGTAAGTTGTGAAAACTTACGGAACTAGCACGGGACTCCCGGTTCAAAAACTAAGTCCAAAAATGCACTTTTTCACACTAAAGCTTGAAAATAGGCATTCGGGGGCCAAAATTGTGCAACAGCCACGAGACAGCCCCGGGAACACCTCGAACACCTTGGGATGGACCAATGTGAGTTGTGAAAATTTACGAAACTAGCACGGGACTCCCGGTTTGAAAACTAAGTCAAAAAATGCATTTTTCCACACTTAAGCTTGAAAATAGGCCTTCGGGGGCCAAAATCGTGCAACAGCCACGAGACGGCCTGGGAAACACCTCAAACACTTCGGGAGGGATCAATCTGAGTTGTGGAAACTAACGGAACTAGTACGGGACTCCCGATTTGAAAATTATGTCCAAAAATGCACTTTTCTACACTTAAGCTTGAAAATAGGCCTTTGGGGGCCAAAATCGTGCAACAGCCATGAGATGGCCCAGGAAACACCTCAAACACATCGGGACAGACCAATGTGAGTTGTGGAACTTACGAAACTAGCATGAGACTCTCGGTTTGAAAACTAAGTTCAAAATGTATTTTTCCACACTTAAGCTTGAAAATAGGCCTTTGGGGGCCAAAATCGTGCAACAGCCACGAGACGGCCCAGGAAACACCTCAAACATCTCGGGATGGACCAATGTGAGTTGTGGAAACTTATGGAACTAGCACGGGACTCCCGGTTTGAAAACTAAGTCCAAAAATGCACGTTTTTACACTTAAGCTTGAAAATAGGCCTTCGGGGGCCAAAATCGTGCAACAGCCACGAGACGGCCCAGGAAACACCTCAAGCATCTCGGGATGGACCAATGTGAGTTGTGGAAACTTACGGAACTAGCACGGGACTCCCGGTTTGAAAACTAAGTCCAAAAATGCATTTTTCCACACTTAAGCTTGAAAATAGGTTTTCGAGGGCCAAAATCGTGCAACAGTCACAAGCCAGCCCAGGGAACACCTCAAACACCTCGGGAGGGAACAATGTGAGTTGTGGAAACTAACGGAACTAGCATGGGACTCCCGGTCTGAAAACTATGTCCAAAAATGCACTTTTTTACACTTAAGCTTGAAAATAGGCCTTCGGGGGCAAAATCGTGCAACAGCCATGAGACGGCCCGAGAAACACTTCAAACACCTCGGGATGGACCAATGTGAGTTGTGGAACTTACGGAACTAGCACGGGACTCTCGGTTTGAAAACTAAGTCCAAAAAAGTATTTTTCCACACTTAAGCTTGAAAGTAGGCCTTTGGGGGCGAAAATCGTGCAACAGCCACGAGACGGCCTGGGGAACAACTCAAACACCTCGGAATGGACCAATGTGAGTTGTGAAAACTTACGGAACTAGCATGAGACTCCCGATTCGAAAACTAAGTCCAAAAATGTACTTTTTCACACTTAAGCTTGAAAATAGGCCTTCAGGGGCCAAAATCGTGCAACAGCCACGAGACGGCCTAGGAAACACCTCAAACACCTCAGGACGGACCAATGTGAGTTGTGGAAACTTACGAAACTAGCACGGGACTCCCGGTTTGAAAACTAAGTCCAAAAATGTATGTTAAATTCTATATGTTATGGATAAAATAATAATTGTCTAACTGACATTTTTTTTTTGTGTGTTTTATTTTTTTGCAGATTCGAGATTTGATATGGACGTGTTTGGTAATTTGGAGGGCCGATGGTAGCTCATTTTGTGTTTTTGTTCATATTACCTTACATGTATTTTGGTTGTGTTGTAAATTTTATATTTTTATCAGTATTACGGGGCATGTTTGGTAATCTGCCCTTGATATTTTATTTTTGTTGATATTAGTAGACATGTTTTTTGTTGGATATTAGGAGATGTGTTTGGTAATCTGCATACGGTTGATATTATATTTTTGTGGATATTAGTAGTTTTTTGTGGATATTAGGAGACATGTTTATAATCAGCATGCAGTTCATATTGTATTTTTGTGGATAGTGCTAAAATTCGATTGTGATGTTTATGAAAATGAACAGATTTTTCTATTGGTTTGTAATAAATATTTTATTGAACAGGTTATTGAAATGCGCAGGGAATTGTTACTGAAAAGAAAAAATTTCGAAAGAAAATAGTACACCTATTTTCAAAATTTTTAAATTTTATTAGTGACGAAATAAAAAATGTCGCTATTAGTTTTCAAAAAACATGACGAATAATTTTGTCACATTTGCTAAGTATTTCGTCGCTAAATTAAAATATTTGGTGACAAAATATTTTTTGTCATTGAATAATTTTCTTTTTTGCTCATTTTAGTGACGAATTTTTTTGTCACCCTAATCCATATCATTGGTGATGAAAATTTTCGTCACTAAAATATATTTGGTGACGAAATATTTCGTCGCAAAAAATAATTAAAATAAAATATTATTTAGGAGTGCTAGAACCAAATTTTCAAGCGGAAGGTATCTTGATTCTGCTGGGAGCAGCGTCTTGCTAATGTAGAAGATAGGCAGATGTTGAATTCCCTCAGCTCAAACTAGCACCGCGCTTACTGCATGTTAAGAAACGGCCAAATACTGATAGAGCTCTTCACCCGGCCGTGGGGTGATCAGGATCAGTGCTGACTAGATATATGCCTTTAGATTCGCCAAAACCAACTATAGTGTGACCAGGATCAATGGTATTGACTGAATTTCCTTAGCTCGGACTAGCACCGCGCTTACTGCATGCTAAAAAATAGCCAAATACAGATAGAGCTTTTCGCCCGGCCGTGGGATGACCAGGATCGGTGCTGAGGAGAGATATGCCTTTAGATCTGCTAGAGCGCAATCGCACTCTTCATCCCAATAAAACTTAGTTTTCAAAGTGTTGAAAAAGGGCCTGCAACGATCTGATGACCGACTTATGAATCTGTTCAGCGCGACTGCCATTCCGGCAAGATGTTGCACATCTTTTACGGAATTTGGTCGCTCCAGTTCTTGGATTGCCTTGATCTGTGAAGGGTCAGCCTTTATACCCAGGTTTGTAACCAAGAAACCCAGAAATTTGCCTATCCGAACACCGAAGGCACATTTGGAAGCATTCAAGTGCAACTTGTGGCGCCTGAGTATAGCAAACATTTCAGCTAGGTCGGCAAAGTGCTAAGACTTATCTTTGTTCTTCACCACCATGTCGTCAATGTAAACCTCTATAGTGCGGCCCAACAGAGAGGTAAACATTTTGGTCACCATTCTTTGAAAAGTTGCCTGGCATTCTTGAGGCCAAAGGGCATAATCTTGTAGCAGTACAAGTCTCTAGGCGTGATGAAGGACATGATCTCTCCTTTTGGCTTGTACATGGCTATTTGGTGGTAGCCACAGTATGTGTCAAGGAAGCTAAACCTTTGGTGACCGGTGGTAAGATCCACCAGCTGGTCTATCCTCGGGAATGGAAAGCTATCCTTTGGGCAGGCATGGTTAACTGTTTTGTAATCGATGCACACCCGTCATTTTCCATTCTTCTTCGGCACCACCACTGTGTTAGAGATCCATCTGGGGTATTGCACCTCTTCTATTGCTTCAGCTTCGAGCAAATTTTTGACCTCCTCTACCACTACCTTGGCATGGTGCAAAGTTGAGCGCCGAGTTCGCTGAATGACCGCCCGTGCGTTAGGAAGACATTCAGCTGGTGGCAAATGAAGCTAGGGTTGACGCCAGGCTGTAGACCGCCTGAACTCGCTCCACACGCGAGGGCGCGAATTGGGTTCTTAGCTACTACAGTTCGAACTCCTGTCACGGTTCTGAATCTAATCTCACAAAGTGCAATATAAGACTGATAAATCACCAAAGAGTCCAATCCAGCACATCTTTTTGGAGAATTGATTTTTAATCAAATAATGCCAAAACTGGACTGCTTTGCCAGATTACAGAGTCGCCACCTAAATATTTTATTTTTAGAAAATTTAGAAAACCCTGACTCGTGCCAAAGGCCACGTGTCCGTCATCACCAAAGTTTCCTTGGCTCGGGAACTTGGGTACAAGGGGGGAAGGTCATGAAATGAGCACCGCTGCTTGCCCGATTAAAAGATTGGGCTCTAACTTTACTAAGTGACGCACGCAAGCAAGTATAGACTAAGTCGCAAGACTTGGAATGAATTCAACTCATGTTTGTTTTCGAAAATGGGTTCAATTTGCCACTCTCAAGTGGGCTTAAAAGATGCGGATTTGCCACCTCAAGTGGGCTTAAAACATGATTTTTGCACTTCGCAAAGTGGGCTTAAAAAAAACTCACATTTGTTGAATTGTTCAAATTCAAACAACAAAGCCTCCACCCACAGGCATTCAAGCAGTTATGCAAGTAAGCGCATAGCCTCACGGCAAGCATGCGATCATGGCAATATGGAAATCACACTCATGCAAGTATGCTAAAGTGCAAAAGTTTACCGAGTACTCCAAGCCAAAACAAAAACTAGTTAGAAATATGCATGATCCTAACTATGTTAAGTGTCTAATGCAACACATGCAACATGAAATTAATAGGCATGGCAACTAATATGGCATTTGCAGCACTTTGATAACATGCTTTGAAACACGTATTCAAGTAAGTATTGAAATTGCAATGCAATTTGAATGATGTGCCGAGCCTCGGTGCATGCAATACAAATGAATGAATGCAATCATGCAAGCATAAGGTATGCTAATTGAAACATGTCCCTAATCTAACCATCAAAAGTGGATAAATAAAAGGGAGAAAGACGTGGGGTTGGAAGACATGCACACACACACACACACGCACACTTATTACAACAATATGCCCTCGCGAAGGAGGGTCCGGATGAAAATGCTAATTAGCTACGCTAATTAAGCTAAACTATTACAAACCAAGAATAATTAACTATTCTAGCCAATTATTATAACACAATTGAAATAAATTAACTAACTATTCTAAGCTAGCTAAAATATTACAAAACGAATTAAACTAATTAATTACAACATTTGTATAACTTATTCTAAGCTAACAAAAATAATCAAATGGCCTCGAGGATGAGGGATGCATGCTTGCTCGGTTGCTCCACCCGAAAATGCCCTTGCCTTGCCATCGGATGCCTCTGTCTGCCCCCGTTTGATCTCTGAAAACTGTACCAACTTCCACATTGCCTCTGCTCCAACACAGGAACACACTGGTGCAAAAACTCACTAGTGGTCGGTCGGCTACAAAAGGTAGCTGTCAGCCACAACAACTAGCCGATCGGCTACTTTAAGTGGCCGGTCGGCTACCCTATTTTTTGGACTTCTGCTCTTGTTACAACAGAGAGCAAACAGAGGCAAAGCAATGCATTTTCAAGAAATATATGTACTGCTGTAGACACCCCATTTTTGACCGTCTTCAAGACTTGGACGTCACCGTTTGAACACTCGGTGATCATCTATGTTTGTGTTCGTCCTGAGTTCTCGGAGGTCTCAGCCCCGCGCCTTGCCTCAAGACCTCTCGACTTGCCTGTTTTGTGTTTGGTTTTGCACCAAACACTTGTTGTTTTGCTTCTGAGGGTGGGAAATGTCTTGTTGGCCATCCCCACACCTCACCGGCCATGGCTTGAGGCCACCGGCCATGTTTTGTTTCCACCGGCCATTGGTATGGCCGGTCAGCACTCTTTATGGTCGGACGACCATTGTTTTGGTCAATTTGTCATTTTTAGCTGGCTGATCACTGTTCATCTGCTTTTGGCAGTTTTTTTATGCCAGCTGTGATAGCTGGCATCCACTTTGCATCCCCTCCATACACATGTATGGAGGGATTTCACTCTTGGTTAGCTTGTTTTGTAAGCTTTACAAGAGTGAATATCTATAAAGGGAGGTCTTCTCCTCCCCCCTCAAGGGTTCCAAGAAGTTCCAGAGGTTTAGTTTTAGGGTTAGGAATCTTGTATCTATCCTATCTCTATACCACACTCTCCTTGCATATTTGTGTGTGTTTAGGGTGTTTTTGTTCTTAGTTTTGCACTAAGACACATAGTATTACACCATACCTTAGCTACTGAGGTACTAAGGAGTTATTTTCACAGTTCTTGAGTTGATTTAAGCTTGGAAAGGCTGCTGAAGCTCCATTCTTGAAGGCGGTCTACAAGGGTAAGAACTTTACCCATTTATTCCCCATTTTTGCATAGGCTTTTAGCCATCCTTGCATCTGTTTTTAAGCTTAGCCTATAACTAATAAAATTTCTGATTTTGAGTGCTTAAAATAGTTGTTTAAGGTCTCTTTGAAGTTTGGGGTTGTTTGACCCCTCTTAGGCCTTGTTTGGCCTCTTTTTTTGTGCACTTTTGGTGAGCTCCGGCACCACCTTGTGTTGGCCTCCTCACCAATGAAATCCAGAGGGATTTCAGTGGTGGGGATGGTGCTTTAAGGTCCTAAGAAGGAGAGGGCCATCCCCTCTCCTTGTCGTCTTCAATACTTGTCATTTTAGCCTCATGTGTGAACACCTTTCTTGAGTTCATGTTGGCCATGTCTTAAGTAGTATTTGTGCTTATTTTTCCATGATATAGCACCATTTTCAATTGGTTTAGACACACCATTCATGCTTAGCATACTTGTCTTGTAGTGCCATGAAATTGCCTTAACATGCTTTGTGCTTTGAGCCTTGTTTTTAGCATGATTTTGGCTTAGCTTTGTGATGTTTTTATGCATGTTTTGATGTTCTTGAAGTCTAATTTTGGTCATTTGGGTCATCCATGACTTGATCTGTATAGCTACCATGTAATCTCCCTTGTAAGCCTTGAGTGTTGGCCCCTCTAGCATGCTCTCCTTGCATCATTTCGGTGGTTTGGAACCACTTACCATGTCATTTTAGTCCATATAGCATGCTTGTATACTTGCATCTGTGGCTCCTTTGAGGCTTCGAAAGGTTGATGTCTTATGCTCCATGATTGGACTTTTGTGCATGCCTTTAGACTTAGACTATTTAGATGCCATCT